ATACCTTCGGCACAATTTCGCAAGGGGGACGACTCTAACTACGATGCAGAAAAGATTGTGTTTTGCTGTGGCTAGCTGCGCACACGCTGAGTAGATAGAAAGAAGATTGATGACTATTCTGAAGATTTCCTGCAAAAAGATGATGCGCGATGCAAGTAGATGCGACAAATGAAAGAAGATTTTTCGAAGATTGATTCGCTAGTGTGAGATTTGTTGAGCATCTAAACTTGAGATTTAGATGTGTCGCCCCCTCGCAATCTCATAGGCATTAAATTGTTGTAAATAAAATGGGAGCACTGCTGGACAACTGTCATTGAAGTTGTTCAGAACATTGCGTGCTGTTTGACTGTATGTTCAGGGACATCTTCTAATTGAATATACTAGAGGAACTCAGACCAGCAGTTCACTTATAGATCTAAACATGAAATGTAGGTTCTAGAGTGGACTCAAGAGGAAGAGGCAGTTAATCAGACTTCATTAGTACCCTTAATTCAAATAATGCTGCAACTCACACAAAACAAACTAAAGAAGTCTATTCATCACCCTTTATAATCGGTCTCCAACAATGCTCCCCACCGGTTCCAACTCTTTCCGGCCGAAAGGCTAGTTTTCTGGTCTGCCTCTAAGGACATTATAAAACACTAAAATACAGGACTTTTATTACCCTATGGATCACAAAACACCGAAATTTCGCACACTCGCCACTTCCCGCGTCATCTTCAGATTTATCCTTGCGATTTCAAACCAAAACATTCAAGGTGTCAGAAATACCCGGTTGCCGGGATGGGTATTTTACAAACAATTGCAGTTTGCTCTATGACCGGCACAATCGGCATACTTGCGGCACACTGAGAAAAAAGATGACCCAAGATTGGTGTGCGGAGTGACCTACCCCTTGGTGTCGAGTCAACTCTTAGCTTCATTTTTTCATGTTGTGAATAGTCTCGCAATATCAAAGGAGTTTATAAAATCAAAATCAAGCATGATATTTTGTTCCAATATCTCGCGTGATATTTAGGGCGTATGAGAGCGGACCAATATCATTTGATTGATGATTTTGCCAATACTGCGTACCGTCATATTTGATAAAGAGTCACAAATTGTTAAGATAATGTTGAAAAACTAACAGCCTTTCTTGACTCCAAATTGCGGGGTTGCTAGTGTAATATGATGTTTTGTTGATTGTTCATTAACTCTTGATTGCTTGTAATACTTATGAATATTTTAGGTGGACAAAAAGGCGAACTAAGAGCTTTTTCACATTTATATCGCTGTGAAGCAAATGTAAATTCTAGAGGGAATTTATATCTGTAACTGTAACCAATTCGTTTTTGTCATATTTAATTATCTTAAAGATAAATCGTCCATGCAAACTTTTGTAGGAGTAAGAGGTGGGACCATCATCATCTACTAGTTTCAATTCCGTTCGGGATTCTAAAAATTTCACAAAATATGTATACGTAGGTTATGAACAACCCCTTAGTGTTATATGAAGTTGTACAATCAAACATATCAGAGCGCTTTAAATCTTAGGGAAGTCAACTACACACTAAGATTTTGTTTCCGTGTTCGGTAAATTTTACCGAAATCAGAACAGTTGAACGTTCGGTAAAACTTTGACCTTCATTTTAAAGGCTATTGAATTTGAAAATAATATCAAAACATGTTCAACCTTGGGCCGTATGAATAAAAAGAGTTTACTTCACTTTCCCGTGCTTTTCTTATGGTAAAAGTAAAGTAAATTTAAGTAAATAATTTTTTTCCGAAAAGCTCAGCTGTTTAGATTTCGGTAAAAATTACCGAAGTCGGCGATAATTTCTAAGTTTGTAGGATATGGATTTAGATCCAGTTTTAGATCCAGTCGCCAATTTGTTGTTTTCCAAATTTAAGATTATTTATTCTGTTGTAAATGTGTACACAGTTACTGTCTGAACTGTTTGCACGGATAATGTTCAACAGGGACTGCATGGACGAATAAAGTACCTGCGAAGTCGTCCTATAAATGAGCCACATTTTGAAACCTTCACGTTTGATGGAATATCGAAGCAACCTGTTCATTTTATCATTGAATCAGAACCTGCCTCCAAAACGTCAAATTCAGTAGGTACCAGAACGTCAAAATCGAAGACATGTTGTACATTCAAAATAATATTCATTGTGTTATGCTACTGCACATAAATATATATTGTGAGATTGCTACTCTCTGTTTGCACATTCCATAAACTGAATTGTTGGCTTTGAGTTTCCGACATTTTGTACAAGTTTAGTAACTTCTTTAGTATCTAATATTTAGGGATCAAAAACGGTGCACTGACCCTGGCCTTACAATTCGGTGGAAATGAGCAGCGAATATTGGAGCGTGATCTTTGCTGTATGGCCTCTGAATCCCCAGAAAGGTCTGGGCACAGAGAACAGACATCCAAGTCAAATTCCTAAAGTGTGTAAGAAATTTAACTGCTGTTTTTTTAAATAGATATTTGAAACCAGCAATATCGTGCGTCGTTGACCGGCAGACGTCATCTTAACATACATGTCAACATTGTTGTGAGCAAAACATTGTTTAAAACCGATCAAAACATGGCCGCAAGTGCTAGTTTTATTGGTGCGCAACTAAACAAGGTGTTACCAAGCGAAAATCTTTTCTCAATTTTCCTAAGCATGCTGAATTACCCGAACTACAGGAGATTTTCTTCTCACGTGGAGTCCAATTCCTGGACTCGAATTCCTGGAAGAACGGATGCAGAGTTCAAATCTTATCACATTTTTCTGAATTTAAACGAAGGCTAATTAGAGTTCACACCCCCCACTGAATCATTTGAAGATACGCCGCCAGTGAATCAAGAAAAGACAGTTTCGCTCCTGACTACTATGCCCAGTTAAAATTGGAACGAAAAACGGTTGAAGATCTACAGGAAACTGTAAAAGAGCTTAGTTTTTTATTCTAAAATAATGGTTCCGCAGAAACAGGATTCATTTCCGCTGTTTTGTCTTGTTTGTTTTGAACAAATTTGACAGTTCATTTGGATACACGGTCAATAAGATCAACCCAAATTTTAGTTCAGTATACTCATTAATCCCTGATAACTCGAGTCGCAACATTCCGTATGGCGGCGCTAGTGTTTTATTTAATTTGAATTTTTACACATTACGAATTTTAATTTGAATTTTTACACATATTTTTTCGAAAAATTTGTTTAAGCTTGGATGTCTGTTCTCTATGGTCTGGGTCTGATGTTCTTTAGGTCATGAATTTACTTGATTCGACTGTGATATGGTGACATTCTCTTTTAACTCTTGACCTAGGACAAACCGTGAAACTAGGTTTCGTATTTTTATTCGTGAAGCAGGCTTGAGTTGTCATACTCATCAATTTTGCATATAAGTAGACCATGTTTGGATGCACCCTTGGTCGCAGTGGTTTTATGTCCCGACCAGAGGGAAAAAATCCCTCCCTTCTACGGGTGGACAATTGTCCATACAATTTAATGAAATTTGTATGGACCGTAGATACTCGCCAACAAACCATATTCACTGGTGCGTGCAAAATATTTAGGGTTTGCTTTGTGACCGAACATTTTTTGTCACAGTGTAGAACTAATGCCGCGGACACACTTGGATGACAAACTATGAACATGAGCATTATTTGTATAATAATTATGAGCACTGTACAACAACTATACAAAAACTATACAAGTGTGACCATGGATGTGCTCATAATTTATTATACAAATAATGCTCATGTTCATAATTTATCATACACGTAACTGTCAAAGATAAGCAATTATAACGGAATTAAAAGAAAATAAACCAACACACTCCAAGCTCTTCATAAAGGCATTCCGTTAAGAGGTTCGACAAAATTAAAAGAATATTTTGAATAACGCCTTTTACAATCTGAAATGATTAAAGTAAATGTCACCATAAATTTCGCTTGATCAGTAAGTCCTAACGTTGTCCTGCCTTAGCTTCTAAACAGTGTGGGATGGACCTCACGATCATCTACTTGAGATGCAGTTACTACAGTAAACACAATACTAGGCACCAACACTTCGGTAGTGCTTAACTTAACAAGAAAATAACTCCCAAATTGCACTTCTCAGGCGACGCACCAACCTGCGATTATGTAGCTACGGTCTCTTTAACGAAGCTACGTTATTATCCAATCCATGTTGTCCATTTCCGTGCCTGGTCCAGCACCAAACCAAATGGAAAGTGTAAAAATTTAACCGTTCCACCTGGCTGAGCCACGAACCCGGTACGACGATCGGCCGGGTCAGATGGCCTCTAGCAGTCTCGTCTGGTGGTCGGCTGAACGTTCTGCAATTCGGCAAAGCGTGCGATCATTTACCGACGGTTTTAATTGCACCCCATCGCGCCACATATGTAACCAAAAAATCCATTACTACCAGCGTGTTTGGTAGCGAAATCACGGCACAATATGAAAAAAAAATATGTCCGAAGTCGAACACGCGTCTTGTCCTTGCTGGCAGCAGACGAAACTTCGGTGCCTCGCCTTACGAAAAACGTTTGGCTCCAGCAGTGTCATGGAAACGCTCGGACCAGTCGCATCTTGTGGATCCAGTGCGGTTTTTTTTTCCTTATTTTTTATCCGACCTCAAGGTCATTGTGGAGGTCCCAGAGTTTAAAAAAAAACAATGCCCATCGGATAATTTGGTGCAAAGTGTCTAGAATAGTGCCGTGTAGATGAAGGAGAAAATTGAAAAAAGTCGCAAAACTGGGTCGAAGGTCCTAGATGCGCTACTTTGCCGCAGCAGCCAGAGGCAGAGTCCCATTTTGGAGGAAGCCGTAAAATGTTCACCCGGACAAGCCGATCATGGCAGTAGTGCGGACGTCGAGACGCAAACCGATCCGATGAGGTTGGCTTGAGTTGCAATGTTATCATTGTTTGGAAACGCTATTGCATAAGATTTCGATCGATACATAATTGCGTGTGTTGCAAGACTAATTGGCGGTGTGTTTTTCTCTCCATTCGATTGCAGGCCTAGTATGTCCCATGGCACCGGCCTAGGACTGGAACGAGGCCATGAGCGAGACTTTGTGCTGTCCACCACCGAGGAGTTTGTGAAGAAATTCAACGGAACGCGAGCGATTAATAAGGTGAGTGCGATATGGGTATCTGTAAATTTGCTTTGAAAAAGAGAGGAAGTGATGTGTGTTTGAAATCACCTGAGTAACTGAAGTGCTAGTTTATGTTGTTTGACTGGTTTATATTGAAACAATTAACCGTGACTACGATACTGAGTGGTGACGCAAATTGTATAATAGCTGTGTCGCATTATCTAGTAAGATTTTTTTTAATTATAACTGTGGCTATGTTTTACATATCATGTTATACAAAAAATGATCACGAACGATCACGGTTCATGCGTAGATGAATCGTTCTGTCCTTGTCGACGCAAGGTCCGGAGCAAGAATTACTTAATCAGACAACGGAAGCTCGTACTGACTGTTAATGTGAGCCGAATACGTTCAGCAACGAAAAATCAAAAATTGCTCACAGTAAAACTATATGAAATGAAGCAAAAATTTGGCAAGACATATTTCTTTTGTCGTAGCTGCCGCGGTTACTTCTTCGGTGGATAGGTTAGTGCTTTAGCACGTTGGTGTGTTTCTCTCGTTGAAGGAAATTTGCACAATATATTGGTTCAATGTGATGGTGATGGATTGGTAGATAATTTCGAGAAGTATCGTATGTTTTACAAGGCCTTTAAATCCACGAGCTGTGCAATAAGTTGAACACATTCTATAGATGATTTTTAGTAGGTTTATAAATTCTGTGAGATTCGACAGATATTTAAAACAATACTCACTAGCTATAAAGTAATTAACTAATTAGGGAACGGCCCGGCATAGTGGTTAACATTAATAAAGGGTGTCCACGATGAAATTGCCACACACAAAATTGATTCGCAAAATTCGAGTTTTCATCCGATTGCCATCACATTTTCAGGGATTGAGAAATAACTATTAAACTTCATTTTACCATTTTACTCGTATTTTATTTACAGTCCATACGCAAATGCCCGCACCTTGGCCTTAACCCCGGCCATAAGATTCTGCACAACCTGTGAATCAACCGTTTTTTGCATGTAAACCCATACTTTCTTCAGTTCCTCGACTGTCTTCACTACCTTAGGTCGTTTAAGAAGGTGCTGCTTCATAATCGCCCAGTACTTCTCGATGGGGCGGAGCTCCGGAGTGTTGGGAGGGTTGAACATTTTCGGCACGAAATTGACCTTATTGTCCGCATACCACTTCAGCACGTCCTTGGAGTAGTGGCATTAGCCCAAATCCGGCCAGAAGATTGTTGGGACGTTGTGGGCCTTCAGGAGAGGAAGCAGCCGCTTCTGGAGGCACTCTTTTATGTACACCTGTCCGTTCATCGTGTCCTGGGTCACGAAAGGTGCACTCCGCTTCCCGCATGTGCAGATGGCTTGCCAAACCAGGAATTTCTTCGCAAATTTGGACATCTTCTGAGTGCAGACATGCTCCGGAACGCTGAACTTATCCTTGACCGTGAAAAACAGGTTGCCGGGGATCTGTTTGAAGTCGGCCTTCACATATGTTTCGTCGTCCATGATGCAGCATTCATGTTGAGGTACAACTTCCTGGCACGGGTTTTGGCGGACTTGTTCTGCTTCTCGTCGCGATTAGGGGCCTTTTGTACCTTGAACGTTCGAAGCCCAGCCTTAGTTTTGGCCGTCTGGACAAAACTTCGGCTTAGGTGCAGCTTCTTAGCCACATCCCTAACGGAGGCGTTCGGATTTCGGTTGAAGGCCCCAACTACGCGGTTGTGATTTTTGGTGTTGTACGGAATACTTTTTCCTTCACTTCTGGGCTTCCGATCGGTGGTCAACCGTTCCTCGAACCGCTTAATCACTCGCGACACCGTGGAATTCGCGATTCCCAACGTTTTAGCGATGGAACGATGCGAGAGATCCTTGTTCTCGTGATGAATGCGCAAGATTTTATCACGCACGAGCTGTTCTTTCGACTCCATTTCCGCGAGTTTTGATCACAGGACTTTAAAACTTGCAGGATGTAAATAATGCACTATGAACTAAATCCACCCAAATTTTCATTAAATTCTACCCAACGGTTAAAAAGTTAGAGCAATTTCATAGTGTGGCAATTTCATCGTGGACACCCTTTACCACTTACGTCAAAATCATGAGTTCAAATACAGCTCACAAATGACCCAAGAGCGTTAAAGTGACCATAATGAAGAATAAATGATATTCAGATGTAAAGTCTAAACAACGTGATTCTTTCAGAACATAATAGAACTGCCTTGCTATTTGCATCCGCAGAATTCAACAAGGTTAAAAAATACATTTGATGTCAAATACGTTTTGACATCCGCAGGCGAACGAGCTTATAAAACGCCTGAAAGTGACCTCGCATCGACGATCCTCCCCTCATTCGAAGTACCGTCAGTTCTTTCCCCAACAGGGTCTGGCTAGAAACGGAATATGAATGGTTGACTTTATAAACTCCCATCAAATCACAGCATGATTTGGTAACAAATTTGTGTTAGAAAAATTAATAAAAAATCAGTGTGTAGAGTCTGACGGGCCTCCCTTAGATTAGGTTAGAAGTTTATTCTTCAGGCAAAGTAGTTTGGATTTTCTGTTTATAAGAGAAAACAAACATTTTATATACAGGGTGGTAAGTGAACCAGGAAAACCGGGAAAAGTCGGGAATTTATTTTCTCCAGGAAAAACCGGGAAAAAACCAGGAATTTCATAAGTCCACCAGGAAAATAATCTTGTGTGTATAATTTAAATAGGTTTTACATTTTATGTATGTTAAAGTTTCTTTTTATTATCAGGTCAAAACTAACCAGTTAAATCTTTCACACAACTAAACATTGATGAACAAAATTTACCCTGAGAATTTAGTAAATATATTTTGTATTTATTTTTAATTTAATTTTTTTCTTGAATCAATTGCATGTATGATTTGTTCTTAAGCAGTGCTGACGCGTAACTACTTTGAAGTACCTGTTCAACATGTTTAATAAAAAAGTTCTATTTCTAAAAACTTCAGATAAGGCCTTCGAACTTCATGCAAGTTCTACAAAATTCGGGAAAGTCTTACAAGTTTCAGGAAAATCCTGTGAACTACTGTGATGACCTACGACGGTCAGGAAATCTCTCCGAACCTTCAGAGAAGTTCTACAAATTTCAGAGAAGTTTTACGAACTTCAGGGAAGTCCTTTAATCTTTGGGGAATAACTGCGAATTTTACAGAATTTTCTACAGATTTAATGTAACTTCTACGACATTTAGGCATTGCTTAAAACTTAAGGATAATTCTATGACACTTATGGATTTTTTCCGAACTTCAGAGAAGTCTTCAATACTCTTGGGAAGTCCTCTGAACTTAACATAGTTCTCCAAGCTCAAAAAAGTTCCTAGAACTTCCGAGAAGTCGATTGAACTACAAGTAGTCCTACGAAATTCATGGGAGCTCTCCAAACTTCAGGGAATTTCCAAGAAATTAAGGAAAGACCCACAAACTTTTGGAAAACCCTTCGATATTTAAAGACTTATGAACTTCAGGGAAGCTCTTCTAAGGGTCCTCATATATTCAGTTAAGTCCTTCAAACTTCAGGGAAGTCCTCAGATCTTCGAGCAAGTTCTTCAAACTTGAAGGAAGTCTTATGAATTTCTGAGAATGTCTACAAACTTCGTGGTAGTTCTACGATATTTAAGAAATTCCTATGAATTTTAAAAAAACTCCGAACTTCATGGAAGTTCTAAGATCTTAAAAAAAGTCCTTCAAACTTCGGGGAAGTCCCCTGAAATTCAGTCGATACAAACTTCAATAAACCCTTCAGGAAAGACCTTAACGCTTCAGGGAAGTTCTACGAACTTTAAGGAGTTTCTATGAACTTCAGCAGTCAGTCTTTTTTTATAATAGGAGTTATTAAACCAGCGTTGTTTATGAAATCTTTTCATCATATGATTTTGAAATCATGTTGCAATCAAAATTCCGCTAAATAAGATCCTTAATCGTTGACAATTTGCGGAAAATTTAAACAAACTGGAAATCCGTAAAATTGGTAGAAGTAAAGGTTTGTTTAAAGAGTCATCATTCATATCACACTTCGCAATTTCACCTTGAGATAAACTAGCCCATTGACTAAAAATCTCAATAATAAAGTTAAAAAAATCGCAGTTTCTAAAACAGAAATCTCAAGATTTAGGGGCTTATAGATCTCTAAATTTCAGACATTAGATAGGACTCCGCGCTAGTCCGTCGTATCTCAGCTTTTCTTCGTCATACACCCCTAAAATCGCTCATTTTACGGGTTATCGCAAATGTTTCAGTGTCAATCGTAATTAATCTTGTAAGCAAAGATGTTTTTGCAAAAAGATGAGTGAAAACGCTTTGCTAATTATAGTTTTAGCACATAGAACGGAAATAGGCGCCATGATACGACGAAGTAGCGCGGCTCCCTACTAGCTTCTTTACAGCAAACAATCAGATAAAGATTTCACGGGCATTCACAAGAACCTTAATACCGTAAAACGAGGTAACATTGATAGTTTTTTAAAGTATATTCTAAATATTTTTTACAGCAATGAATGTTTTTCAAATTTTATATTTTTAAAACAAAGTACTGAGGATTCAAGAGGTAATTTGTTAGTAATATGTTGAATAAAAATTAAAGCATTTGCACTATTTTTTTTTTTAGTTTTGTGACTGAACTTCAGTATTTTGATTTGGGGCTACTTTGATAATACTCGATGAATGTAGAAAAAAATGAGTGAAACTCAAACAATTTAGTTCTTTAAATATGAAACTTTGAATGATTATATAATCAGAAAACTTCATAAGCAATAAGAATACAACATTGAATTTGTGATGGCTGTATCGGAAATACATTTCATAAGTGATGGTTTGAGTGCTTTTTCAAAAAGGCGAAAAACCGCGAAAATGGTTTTTTAATATTTTTTGTAAAATATGTAACACATACTATATAAAAACTATATACAATATCAACGGAAATACCTTAAGCTACAATATGGAACCAATGTTTCTTATTTGGAAAAAAGCACAGCGAGTAAATTTATTCTTTATATTATACTATCAAAGTTACCCGCATTATCAAAGATACCCCGTTTTACGGTACCTATGTTGGTTTGTGAAATTCCGCATTGCGCGAAGAATGATGGTACAAGGAGTCACTTTTTTTTTTTATTAAAAATTGTTTTTTAATACATGGTTTTTAAAACCAGGAAATTTTTAAATCATTGACCAGGAAAACCAGGAAAAAACCTGGAATTTCAAAATGGAAATTCACTTGCCTAATGTTGGCCTATGGATCTAAGATTTGGCCCATCGCTAAAAATCTGCTATTTATCAATTTTATCTAGATCAACGCGTCATTGTGACCGTACTAATGGATATTTTTGGTCGCTATTGAAAATGTAGTCGATTGCTGAATTTATGTATGGGCCCAAATTAGGGGCATTTAGACCGACATTACATCTATTTCCCCTATCAGAGAATTTGGTTTTCTTCATTGAGTCGACACCCGACTGACGCTCTTTCACGTGATTTTGCCTGCTCTCAAATAAGCCTTCCTTAAAGTACTTCCAAAGTAATTGATTAGGAGCTTTCTATGCCAACCAATACCAACTTGTATATTTTATCCAGGGTGTCGACTACCTGGAAAAAACCTGGAAAATCTGGGAATATCAAGGAATTCTTTTTTGGACCTGGAAAATCAGGGATTGTCAGGGGATTTCATTCAAAGTCAGGGAAATAATCCTTTATAACAGAAACATATTAATAAGTATGGCTGACTTCGCTAGATTCAAACAACTTAATTACTTGTTGTAATTGGAGGATGGTTTTCTATTTCAAATTTTAAATAGAGTTGCGAAGTTGTGGTTGTTCAATGCTTGATGTTGCATTTGTGCAAGTAGAGCAAAAGTTACTCAAATAAAAGGGTATTTCGATGATGATTATAAATTCAGCTCCCACTGGGTGTCACATTCCTGAGTTGGACCGAGAAAAAATTCAGTTCCGTAGAGACGCTAGACGTTGTTAGTTGTTGCAAAATTAAACTGCTTATGGAAATGTGCGACTCTTAATAGATGTTATACCTAATTGCGTCTGACAAAACTTAACCTTCAATAAGATTCTGCGTCTGCTCGATCCAGCTGTGTCAAAAAAAAAAATCAATCCCTTGAGCGCATTGGAGCGCTTTTAAGTAAATGCAAGAATGATTAAGCGTTAAGCTGGCCTTAGACAAGGCAAGTCATTGATCAACTCAGTTGAGTTCAATAGGTTTGAAACCTTGAGCATGGTTAATTTTTTTTTCAATTCAAGTCAGTTAAATGGCATTGTTTACACGTTCAAGTTGAATTCAACTGAGTTGATCAATTGACTTGCCTTGTCTAAACCCAGTTTTAAGAGAAGATAATGATTTTTCTTTCTGAATACTTCTAGTTCTTGTTCCTTATTGTGTTCTTAACAGCTTGACTAGCTCAGAGAACTAACTAAATGAGAATTTAGGATAATTGTCTTGCTTGGGAGGTTTTTTTTTATAGCTTGGAGTAGCATTTTTATGATTGAATAATGATTCAAAGATACGTAGATAAGCATTGCTTTGACAGCATAGAGTGGCTGTATTAAGTATTCTAGGTCTTCATTAAAAACCTGATTAGCTCGTAAAATTAGCTTCACAGTAAAGTTTTAGTATGGTAATGTTGCTGCTATTGCAATTTAGATGGGATTAACTTAAAGAATTTTGGAGATGAAAGCGTCATTTTTACTATTTCCCACCGCCCGTAAATTAGCTTTTGATTAAGCATATTATCCGGTATAATTTTCTTACGGAGCTGGGTCTCAAAATGTGCTCAAGGCAAAACAAATATAACAAGTGTTTAATATGTGAAATGCAGAGTGACCAGTGAACCGGGAAAACCGGAAAAAAAAGCTGGAATTTGAAGTCACCGGGAAAATCCCACGAATTTAGGTGACAAATCTGGAAAAATATATCTCGTTCTCTCTTCGAAAACAATAAGATTTCAAGACCCTTGGACTGGTCTAGATTTTCAGGATAACTACAGTCACTTTGTATAACTATTAAGAGAATTTTAGATTTTTTTCCAAAACAAATTTGAGCAGATTTTAAAATGAATTCTAGAGATAACACCAAGGTATTTCAGAGAATATTTTCTAGGGAGCTTTAGGAAAACCTCTAGTAGAGTTTTTACTAGATCTCCCAAGAGTGAAGAGGATTCCACGATTCTTGAAAAATACCAAGGAACGCGTACAATTCCAAAATAATTATTCCAAGCGCGTATAATTCCAAGCGCATTTCGAAAGGAATTTCTATAGAATGTTAATGAGAATCCTATGCAATTTTCAGAAGAATTTAGAGGAGAACTCCAATGTAATTCTGAGCAAAATTTGAAGACAATTCTCGGCGGAAGAATTTCCCCTGCCAGATGGTGTTGGAAGGGAAGGGGATAACAAGTTTTGATCACAAAAGCTAATAGGCTTTTTTCAATTGTTGGTCTGAGGTGAATTCTACGGAGAATTGCATGCAAATATCAAAAAATTGAAGTTCCAGTGAATTCTTAGAAAGAGTTTAAAATTCGAAAAAAGAATGAACAGAGAATTTCTGTACTATTTAAAAAAAAAATCAAGGTATTTCCAGAGAGAATTTCAAATTTATTTTAGAAGAATTCTGGAAAGATTTCTGTGAAAGGAAATTAATCTAAAGGAAAGGCTTGGGAACAATCAAATAAAGTAAAGTTTTGAGCGAAATTTTCTTACACAAATTGTGAAGCTTTCGAACCCGTCGCAGATCCAAATTCAAGATCCAGCAAAGGGCTGCTGCCTTAGAAACTATCCATTTAACCTTAGGCTTATTTGCATTAAGTTTTGTGTTTAATTAAAATACCTAAACCGCGATAATTTCCAAAATTCCGGCAGTAAAATGGGAAAATTGCTAATCGAGATTTGCTGGTCACCATGAACTTGAAGGAGATTTGGGTGAATGTATGCCCCTAGGGTAGAACGCGGATCCTTCCCGTTTTTTGGCAACACCAGATTTCTGTCTTTTTTGCATTCTATAAAATGTATGGAACGCTTTATTTAATTTGAAATTCTACTGGACCACTCTTCATGGGTTAGAGGTCCGTGTGGTATTTCATGAAAAAAGTAGAAGGGTCTGTGCCTAGGGGCACAAACGGAAGCGTGACGTAGGGCCGCTAGTGGACGGAACAGATGTGTTGATCATTTAGTTCTCAACTCTTTTCATTTTTGAATTGGTGGCCCCAAAGAGGGCCGGTTGTTTTTCAAATGGCGGCCACACCAGTGCAAGTCGGTGCCGACCGGATGACGGCGGCCTAGTCATACTACCTGTTGCGGGAAGCCTTTTCTCCGGTCGATGTGGGTGCTTTCATCGTCGTCTTCGTATTGGTGCGATGCGTGCTGTTCCACTCATACGTCGTGTCCGACGCTTATCCGTCTGTTGCTCGAAAGCAAATGACGAAGAAAACGATTTGGCAAACGATTTTATTATCGCTGCTTTTCTCCTCCCTTCCTTTCATTCGTAAAATGGTGAGCGGTCCACCGAGCATTGAGCTCGCTCATGTGAGCATGCACAATGTGTCGTGTTTTCGATTTGCGTTCTATCGTTGCGTCCGTGTTTGGGATTTTTCGTTACATGTCTGATTTTTTTTTAATGTGACTCCCAGTATAGAAATTAAAGACGTAGTCCTACGTCAAAACGTCCCTAAAGAACTAATACATTCTGAGGAAAGTTATAGCTGAGGGGTTGTGTAGCCAAAACCGGGTAGGCACCGCACCTGGAATTTTTTTGAAAATTACTGAAAAATCAGGGAATATCAGGGAATTTTGTTTTCTTCGTTGAGTCGACACCCTGCTATCATCGTAAGCACAATGCATCTATATGCGCAAGGAATTGTCTAGCCCGAACGATTTCCTCGATCAGACCCAGGATAGAATCCGCCGCCTCCAGTTTGGTAAGATCGTGTCTTAACTAACTATAGGCTATCAAATGGAAAGTTCGTGGTTCAACCATCAAAAATTCTCGAATTCAAGGACAAGTTGAGATGACGTCATGGGCAAATCAAATACTATTTAAATGATATTCATTTCATCGCATGATAGGTACTTACGATCGCTCGGCGGATAATATTAAATAAGCGTTTGCGTATTCAACGACTTCTTACAATCCCAGATACCTACGTATTCAGTTTTTACTCTTTCGCTATATTATGCTAAATCATCAAACCTAAGCAAATAACACTTTTTGTTCTGCCACTTTGCGCTAATGACTGGGCAAATATAATCATCAAACCTCCCATCTACAGTCGCCAGCCATCATACAAATAATAACGTCAAGTACTGCAAAACTATAGTCACAGCTTCTCACTACTGTTTCCCCATCTTTCCCGTTTTTTTTCCCCGCAGGTGCTGATTGCCAACAATGGCATCGCGGCGGTCAAATGTATGCGCTCGATTCGACGCTGGGCGTACGAGATGTTCAAGAACGAACGGGCGGTGCGCTTTGTCGTCATGGTTACCCCGGAGGATCTCAAAGCCAATGCCGAGTACACCAAGATGGCCGACCACTACGTCCCGGTTCCGGGTGGATCGAACAACAACAACTACGCCAACGTGGAGCTGATTGTGGACATTGCCCTCAGAACGCAGGTTCAAGCGGTTTGGGCTGGTTGGGGTCATGCTTCCGAGAATCCAAAGCTGCCCGAACTGCTGCACAAAAAGGGATTGGTGTTTTTGGGACCGCCGGAGCGCGCCATGTGGGCACTGGGCGATAAGGTTGCCTCTTCGATCGTTGCACAAACGGCTGACATTCCAACACTGCCCTGGTCCGGGTCAGAACTGAAGGCACAATACAGTGGGAAAAAAATCAAAATTTCCAGTGATTTGTTTGCTCGAGGCTGTGTGACTACATCGGAGCAGGGCTTGATAGCAGCCGGCAAGATCGGATTTCCAGTGATGATCAAAGCGTCCGAGGGTGGTGGCGGTAAGGGCATTCGTCGAGTCGATCAGCCGGACGAGTTTCCGGCTCTGTTCCGACAGGTGCAGGCTGAAGTTCCCGGATCGCCTATCTTTGTGATGAAACTAGCTCGCGGTGCGAGACATTTGGAGGTGCAACTACTGGCTGATCAGTACGGGAATGCAATTAGCTTGTTCGGTCGTGATTGTTCGATCCAAAGACGTCATCAGAAGATCATTGAAGAAGCTCCAGCAATCATCGCCGAGCCGGAAGTGTTTGAAGATATGGAAAAGGCCGCTGTCCGGTTAGCAAAGATGGTGGGATACGTGAGTGCAGGTACCGTGGAGTATTTGTACGACGCGGAAGGAAGATACTTTTTCCTGGAGTTGAATCCTCGACTGCAGGTAGAGCATCCTTGTACCGAAATGATAGCCGAGGTAAATCTTCCAGCTTGTCAGCTGCAAATCGGTATGGGAATTCCGTTGTACAGAATCAAAGATATCCGTCTATTGTACGGTGAGCATCCATGGGGTTCATCGGTGATCGATTTCGATAATCCAGTCACGAAACCACGGCCTCGTGGCCATGTGATTGCTGCTCGTATCACATCGGAGAATCCTGACGAAGGTTTCAAGCCAAGCTCCGGAACAGTACAGGAATTGAATTTCCGATCAAGTCAGAATGTGTGGGGTTATTTCAGTGTGGCCGCTTCCGGAGGTCTACACGAGTTTGCTGATTCTCAATTCGGTCACTGCTTTTCGTGGGGTGAAAACCGACAACAGGCACGAGAAAATTTGGTTATCGCGTTGAAGGAACTTTCCATTCGGGGTGATTTCCGAACAACGGTAGAATACTTGGTGACGCTTTTGGAAACGAATAGCTTTTTGGAGAATACTATTGACACGGCATGGTTGGATGCGCTGATTGCAGAACGTGTGCAGTCGGACAAACCGGATATTATCCTGGGAGTGGTGTGTGGTGCTTTGCACATTGCTGATATTAAGATAACGGATGCTTTTACCAGCTTCAAAACGTCGATGGAGAAGGGGCAAATTCAGGCAGCTAACACTCTGACAAATGTAGTAGACGTAGAATTGATCTCCGAAGGCATCCGATACAAGGTACAACCAGCAAAGACCGGTCCCAATACATACTTCCTTGTGATGAATGGATCATTCAAAGAAGTAGAACTTCATCGACTAGCGGATGGTGGAATGTTGATTTCGTTGGATGGTTCGAGTTATACGACTTACATGAAGGAAGAAGTTGATCGATATCGAATTGTGATTGGTAACCAGACGTGTGTGTTTGACAAAGAAAATGATCCTTCTCTGCTGCGATCTCCATCGGCTGGCAAACTGATCAACTTGATTATCGAAGACGGAGCTCATGTCAACAAAGGTCAACCGTATGCAGAAATTGAAGTTATGAAGATGGTCATGACCCTTACTGCTGGAGAAACCGGTACCGTATCGTTTGTACGTCGTCCTGGAGCTGTACTGGATGCAGGTTCCTTAATTGGACACCTAGAACTGGATGATCCGTCATTGGTGACGAAAGCTCAACCTTACAAGAACCCATGGCCTTTGACTGGGGACAGTGGGCAAGTTCCTGAAAAGCTGAACCGCATTCATTTCTCATACAAAACTATTCTAGAGAACACTTTAGCCGGATATTGCCTTCCAGATCCATACAACGCGCCTAGACTTAGAGAAATTATCGAAAAATTCATGCAGAGTTTACGTGATCCGTCTCTGCCTCTGTTGGAGCTTCAAGAGGTGATCGCCTCCATATCCGGGCGGATTCCACTGTCGGTGGAAAAGAAAATCCGTAAATTGATGCAGCTCTACGAGCGCAATATAACCAGCGTGCTAGCCCAGTTCCCATCGCAGCAAATTGCTTCCGTGATCGACATGCACGCAGCCACTCTGCAGAAGCGCACCGATCGTGACGTGTTCTTCCTGACCACGCAAGGAATAGTGCAGTTGGTGCAACGTTATCGCAACGGTATTCGTGGTCGCATGAAGGCTGCCGTCCATGAACTGCTTCGGCAATATTATGCTGTGGAATGTCAATTCCAGCATGGACATTACGACAAATGCGTTGCCACCATCCGTGACAAACATAAGGAAAACATGGATGTGGTCGTTGCAACCATCTTTTCGCATAGCCAGGTGGCGAAGAAAAATCTGCTGGTAACTTTGCTGGTCGATCATTTGTGGGCTAATGAACCTGGTCTAACGGACGAATTGGCTGCTACGCTAAGTGAACTGACTTCGCTGAACCGAGCGGAACACTCCCGTGTGGCACTGAGAGCCCGTCAGGTGCTAATAGCTGCTCATCAGCCAGCCTACGAGCTTCGGCACAATCAGATGGAATCGATTTTCCTATCGGCCGTGGATATGTACGGACATGATTTTCATCCGGAAAATTTGCAACGTCTGATCCTGTCGGAAACGTCTATCTTTGACATTTTACACGACTTCTTCTATCACTCGAACCGTGCCGTATGTAACGCTGCGCTGGAAGTATACGTACGTCGTGCATATACCTCGTACGAGTTGACGTGTCTGCAGCACTTGGAGCTTTCCGGAGAGGTACCGTTGGTACACTTCCAGTTTCTGCTGCCAACGGCGCATCCAAACCGTTACAAGTGGGTTACTTGATTGTAGAATTTATTGTTCAAATATTACAAATTACATCTTGTTCTAGGCTTCTCCCTGATGGAACGGAAACAGACAACATTTCCGACTCATTCATGCGCACTGGTTGCATGGCCGCGTTCGATTCGTTTGACCATTTCACTCAATACTCGGATGAAATTTTGGACCTGCTAGAGGATTTCTCATCGCCTGCGTTTGTCAATCCTAAGGTACTGGAAGCGGTGGAAGCTGGAGATTCGGACCGTCGTATGAGTACGTCAATCAATGTTTCGATTTCCGACCCGGTGGCACGAGCTGTGGAAAGTGATGGAATTGCCGGTATGTTTGCGGATAGTTTTAACCGAATTGGACCAAGGGTTTTTAACCGGGGCTTTATTTTTATATGGTAGCACACCCAGCGGAAGCCATGCACATCCTAAGCATTGCTGTTCGTGACATGGGCGATATGGATGATTTACAGATGGAGCAGGTATTTGGATCGTTCTGCGCTCAACATCGTGAAGAGCTGCTCACCCGCAGAGTTAGGCGGATTACATTTGCCGCACTCAAGAAGTAAGTTTATTAAGTGTTTAGAAGAGATTAATGAGATACTAAACCTAGCTTTTTTTACAGACGTCAATTCCCAAAATTCTTCACCTACCGAGCACGAGACAACTTTGAGGAGGATCGTATCTATCGTCACCTGGAGCCGGCATGTGCCTTCCAGCTGGAGCTGAACCGTATGCGAACGTACGACCTGGAGGCTCTGCCAACTGCCAATCAAAAGATGCACCTATATCTTGGTCGTGCCAAGGTAGCCAAGGGTCAAGAAGTGACAGATTTCCGTTTCTTCATACGTTCCATTATTCGTCACTCGGATTTGATAACCAAAGAGGCTTCATTCGAGTACCTTCAGAACGAAGGTGAACGCGTGCTATTGGAAGCGATGGATGAGCTGGAAGTGGCCTTCTCGCATCCCCACGCCAAACGTACGGATTGTAATCACATTTTCCTAAACTTTGTTCCAACGGTTATAATGGATCCGGCCAAGATCGAGGAGTCCGTGACCAAGATGGTGATGCGGTATGGGCCTCGGTTGTGGAAACTGCGGGTACTGCAAGCTGAGCTGAAGATGGTTATCCGGCAGACGACACAATCGCCAACTACCTCCGTTCGTTTGTGCATAGCAAACGATTCGGGTTACTTTTTAGATATAGCAATGTACACCGAGGTGACCGATCCGGAGACGCATGTGATCAAATTCCAAGCATACGGTAACAGGCAAGGACCCCTGCATGGATTGCCGATTTCTTCGGCCTACATGACCAAAGATTACCTACAACAGAAACGCTTCCAGGCTCAATCCAATGGTACTACCTATGTGTACGATATTCCGGATATGTTCCGCCAAATGACGGAACGATTGTGGAAGGAATTTTCCAAAGCGCGACCAACGGAAGATATTAGGATTCCCGAGAAAATTCTACTCGTGTGCAACGAGTTGGTGCTGAAGGGTGATACGTTGGAGGAGATTCAACGGTTACCGGGAGAGAACAACGTTGGGATGGTGGCATGGAGGATTGTACTGGCTACTCCAGAGTTCCCTGACGGGCGAGAGATTGTAGTCATCGCTAACGACCTAACCTATTTCATCGGATCCTTTGGACCTCAGGAGGATATGCTATTCTGTAAGGCGTCGGAACTGTCTCGGAAGCGCAAGTGCCCTAGGATTTACATTTCGGTTAACAGTGGTGCCCGTATCGGATTGGCCGAGGAAGTGAAATCCTTGTTCAAAGTGGCCTGGGAAGATCCCGACGAGCCGGAGAAGGGATTCAAGTATCTGTACTTGACGACTGAAGACTACAGCAAGATTGCAAATACGAATTCGGTTCGTGCCATTTTGATTGAGGACGAAGGTGAGCCGCGATATAAAATCACTGATATTATTGGCAAAACCGATGGGCTCGGTGTGGAGAATCTGCGTTATGCTGGTATGATTGCCGGTGAAACTTCGCGAGCGTATGAAGATGTGGTAACGATTTCGATGGTGACCTGTAGAACGATCGGTATCGGTTCCTATTTGGTACGTCTTGGTCAACGTGTGATACAAATTGAAAATTCTCACATTATTCTGACTGGCTTCGCCGCGCTGAACAAACTATTGGGTAGAAAAGTGTACGCTTCTAATAACCAGTTGGGTGGTATTCAAATCATGCACAACAACGGTGTCACGCACAAGACCGAGGCAATAGATTTGGACGGTGTCTACACGATATTGTATTGGCTCTCTTACATTCCGGATGTGCGTGGAGGAACGCTGCCAATCGTAACGACCAGTGACTCAATTAACCGACCAATCGATTTCATGCCAACTAAGGCGCCCTATGATCCGCGGTGGATGCTAGCAGGACGTGTCAATCCGTCCAATCCCTCTGAATGGGAAAGCGGTTTCTTTGATCGGGGAAGCTGGTCGGAAGTGATGGAACCATGGGCTCAAACGGTTGTTGTGGGTCGTGCCAAACTTGGTGGCATCCCGGTGGGTGTGATTGCGGTAGAAACTCGAACAGTCGAGCTGACCATTCCGGCTGATCCGGCAAACCTCGACTCGGAAGCCAAAACATTCCAACAAGCCGGTCAGGTATGGTTCCCGGACTCATCCTACAAAACGGCACAAGCAATCAAAGACTTTGGACGAGAGGAACTGCCACTGATTATCCTGGCCAACTGGAGAGGGTTCTCCGGTGGACAGAAAGGTAAAGAGTAATTTAGGTAACTATAAATGGTAGCATCTAACTGATACATTCTGCGTTTCTAGATATGTACGAACAAATCGTTAAATTCGGTGCCTACATCGTTGACGGGCTGAGGGAGTACAAACAACCGGTCATCGTCTATCTGCCACCGAATGCGGAACTTCGTGGAGGAGCCTGGGCTGTGTTGGATCCGACCATCAATCCACGGTACATGGAAACCTATGCCGATCCGGAATCTCGTGCGGGAGTGCTAGAGCCTGAGGGTATTGTCGAAGTCAAATTCAAGGAAAAAGACCTGGTCAAGGCCATTCAGCGGTTAGATCCGGTGACGTTGAATGTATGTCCTACCAACTAATTCGTCCGCGTTCCAGACTAACAGCAGTAAAATTTTCTATTCAATTCACAGCTCATTGAGAAGCAAACAGAAGCAGCTGGCAATAAGGAATTGGTAGCGGATCTAGAAAACCAAATCAATTTGCGAGTCAATTCGCTGCTGCATGTGTACCATACGGTAGCAGTGCACTTCGCCGACCTGCACGATACACCGGAGCGAATGCTGGAGAAGGGATGCATCAGCGAAATCGTACCCTGGCGAAGCTCGCGTAGCTTCCTATACTGGAGGATGCGGCGGTTGCTGCTTGAGGAATACTTCATCCAGCAGATTCTAGACGCCCAGGACAGTCTTTCCGTAGGACAAGCCAAATCGATGCTACGTCGGTGGTTCGTCGAGGATAAGGGTGCCACGGAGGTAATTTCGAAGAAAGTAATTCTAGCACAATAAGAAGTAACTGAATCCATATTTTTTTTTTATTAGGCTTACCTGTGGGAGAATAATGAGCCTCTGGTGGAGTGGTTAGAGAATCAAAAAAAGAGCGATTCGACCGTCTGTCGCAACATCTACGCCGTGAAGAAGGATGCGATAATCTCACAGATTCAAAAAGCCCTCGAAGTAAGTTTCATGATACGAATTGATGCCATCATGGATCACATGCTAATAATTGAATCCTCTATTTTTATCAGGAATGCCCCGAGGTGGCTCTGGATGCAGTAGTCGGGTTGTGCCAAGCCCTTTCTCCAGCCCATCGAGGTGAGGTGGTGAAAACGCTGTCCCAGCTGGAATTCACCGAGAAGGAACACACCAGCATGGGATGACCGCGGACTGGCTACTACAAGTAACGCACCAGCAACAGGAGGACAAGACGAAAGAAGCAGTAGCTTTCTTCCATGTGGAAATCCTGCGCGATACTTTCGTTTTCCATTCTTCCGGAAAACCCATGATGATCATATCTTTATTCCTTTGATTCATCAGCCAATGTACCAATGTAGGTTCACTAAGGTATGCTTCATATAAAGACAAGATTTCCGTTCCATCAACATCTTATTATTGTTATTGGAGGTCGATGGGCCACGACAATTATCGATATAGCTCGTTCATAGCTCATACCAAAAGACGGTAGGAATATGAATTAAAACAAAGCCTGTTTCTTATTAGACTGCACTAGGTAAAGTGCAAACACATAGCTACTAATATAATCGATCCTTGGGCAGAGTCAACATCGACAAGACGAAATGATTCATAATGTTAACATACCTAATTTATTATTAGAAAATCGTCCGTCGAAATCACAAACAAAAATCTATTCGATCACTATTTTGTACGTTATTTTCCTCGTCAGGAAGGATTTTTGTTGCTACGTAGACATTAAAGTTATAATACATCTAAAAAATGAAGATAAACCAAGGATACCGGGTACCATTTTATACATTTGGTGTGAACTCTTTAAAAGGGATAAATTGTATAGATTAGGTTAACGACACGTGGTGAATAAAAGTAAAACATCAACTGTAAACATATTTAATTACGAAAGCAAATTTGATAGCTGCATTTAGCGGATATTATGAAAAACTACATCCAGCCAGATCTAGGAAAAAATGGCAACATCAAACAAATGATATGCATCACCGAATCCTCAACTATTGTACAAACCAATGGAGATATGGAAAATATAAAGGAGAGTAATCTGAAAACGGGTATTGCTGGAAAGAACTACCTCCGGGGGGTGGGTTTGCATGTATAATACTTATTTATTTTCGTCATTTGACAGTTATTGGCGAGAAGTCGTCTCTTCTAGCAAATATTGAAAGTTTCTTATGGAAATTTTCAATGGAGTGAAAGGATTGTACGATGGCCGCCATGTTTCACGGACAGTCTAACGTTTGCTTATGGATTTTACTAGAAATGCTCAGAGGGACCCGAATAACAAAATACCATACCCGAACGATAACCCAAATGATTGAACTATACCAACAATGGTTTGGATGATACCCTGAACACGTCGTTACGTAAAATGACCATACAACATTTATTTGGGGAGAGATGGGCGGAGAAAACTGCAGTCTTAATATAGACTAGTATCTAGGTTGGGCTCTCAATATAATACACAATACTAACAGGCGACTCACTAAGGACACGGGATATATACTACAATAGATCAATTTACTGGTCGCAGTAGCAGGCGACTCGAGCTATGGTGCTCACTAGGTCACTGTAGCTTTTCAACTCGTATTGCAATTACATAATCGATGGGATAGTATTTTTATTTTGGTTTTGCACAAAGGTGATTTTGTGTACAATGATTCTTTGACAGTGTACAAATAGTGTATCATTTTGTAATTTTTTTTATGCATTCCAGTTTTGAGTAGAGTGAAAGAAATAGAACCAAAACATTCTAGTACATTTGGTGAAAATGCTAGTTCAATCCAGTAGTAGCATAGAGGTAACTCTAAGACCAGAAGGTCCCGAAAATACGTGCTCAACTTTTTGGCTCAGCTCTGGTACTATCTTCGGTCCCAAGCTAATCGATGCACCCCTCGAAACATAGGAAAATCCAAGAACCCCTCATTTTATCTGTCAAACTTTCATAGCAAATCAAAACAAACATAGTGTAGTACTAGAATTTCGACTAGAATGGGGTAAGGTATGTCGTTTGCTTGGGACCAATAGGCTAGTCAAGTAGTGAGCCAATTTAAAATCTTTAGTTTCGTATTGATTGTTGGTATAAGGTTGATGTTTTGGCAAAAATGTATAAGTGAAACACATGAAAAAAATAATTGATTTTCGGTTCGTGTAGAGTTACCTCTATGTATCAACTGCGTCCTATCGAAAGATCCTGGGCAATAATTAAACGGCATCTTAAGAAAGAAGGAAGAGAAACAAGCTCTGTTGACTGCTTCAAGAAAATTTGGTCTGCAGCTCAACGAAAAGTTAAGAAGAAAGTTTTGTAGAATCTAATGGGCGGTATCAAGAGTAAAATCCGAGCGTTCTTCAGAAATGTGAAGTTAGCATTCAAATTCACGTGAAATTGGTCATATGTATGTTGATTTTCATTTATATAAAGTAAACTTATGAATTTGTTCGAAAATATCTTTTTTCCTTTGAGAAACAGGGGTCACATTGCGAATCTCGAAACGAAAGACTTTTTGTACGAAGGCTTGTATGAAAAAGTATTTCTTTTCGAGATGCGCAATGTGGCCCCAGGTGTCAACTTTCATGTTACTGTTGCCATTCCTGGGGGCACATTGCGCATCTCGAAACGAAAGACATTTTGTACGAACGAAGAATTGTCATCATTTCTAGACCAACAATTGAAACAGGCGGAACAAACAAACGTAAACAATGGCTTTAAACGCAAATTCCTCGAGAATCAAAGCACATCCAAGCAAGATTGACGCAAGATTGTTAGATAACACCGTCATTGTTAGTTTGCGTGGGAGTGTTTTTATTCTTGAAAATTTTGTGTTTAAAACCATTGTTTACGTATGGTTGTTCCGCCTATTTCAAATTTTGGTCTAGATTTATCCTCTCGGCGTGTACCATGTAGGGTAGCTCATCTCTCGTCGTGATGGTAGGATATAGCAGACAAATTAGAGAGAAAACAAGGAGGTATTAGTATTAGTTATATTTTAACAAAAGAAGAGAAGAAGGAAAGAAGAGCAAAAAAATAAAAAGAGAATAAAGATAAAGTAGAAAACAAAAAAGGAAACGTAGGCAGATTAGGAGCTGTTCATTAACTACGTAGACAGTTTTTTGGGATTCTTGATTTTTATAATATCTAAGTAGTCTTTCTCTTCGGAGAATACTTACTAACGTAAGGACAGGCGTAAAAATTCCAGTTAATTCGTATAAGCAAATGGCAAAAATCTGCAAAAATCAAATCATCCTCAGTGTAGTATAACGATCAAGTAGTCACAGAAGAACATTTAAGTTTTGACGGGGAATCTGAATTTGCTCGATTTTGTTTGCGATCTTCGTATTCACACAGGACAAAATGGATTCGGAATTAGCACCTCAAGTAACGGATAGGGATTTTGCCGTGTATCGTTTCTCAAATTCTATAATAATCATACCATTTTTAGACAACGCCCGAGAAAAAGGTGAAGAAAAAGAGAATTGCTATCATGGAACCTCACGAAGAGCTGGGAATGGATAAGCGAAGGGAAACCAAAGTCTATGTATGCGATTAAAACTAGTTGATACTGTCGGTCAATTTGGACATCGGAAAACTCCACACGATACATACATTCGCACAATGATGTGCTATAATGCGCACTATGTCCGACGTTATGTTTAACGTATAGAACAACATAAAATCGATTGTCGCGTGTGGGGTCTTCCGGTTTTCAACTGTACCGATAATATCTATAAGCTAGCTTAACTAATCTTCATTTTTCAAATGTTTAGCGCAAGTCAGTTTTCCCTGGTGTTCACGAAAGCTTTGATCTCGCTATGAGTAGTGTAAGTTTGTGATCATCAGTATTTTCTCCTTAGCTAACTGGATCATTTTCAGTCTCGCCGACAATCATCCACGGGTATGATATTCAATCGCCTAATGAGTTCTGGTTTCCCGTCTATGGCATCTAGACGATGGACCAGTCGCCGCAGTACAATGGTAACTTATCAAGCGCCACGCACAATGGATTCGTTGCGTTTGCCTTTGCGTTGATTTAACAGTTAATCAATGGGTTATCTGTCAAATTTACGTCAACGGACCGCAAACGTTCACATTGTGAATGGCTCTTTAATCTATCTAAATAAAACGACGGCTTCGGCAGTACATTTATCTATTATCATTCGGGGGTAATTTGCGTTCTAGAGTCCTAATTTTTTACATCAGGATACATCATGATTCAGACCATCGCTTTGCCAAAATTAAGTGCTAAAGGGCTTTGTTTACACCCCTGGCGATAATGCTATTGCCGAAGCTGTCATTTACCCTACTTAAACAGTGTTAAATAATTCACATCTCCTTGCAGTACATGTCTCCGCGTTTTCAAAACAACTATCGTTTGGAATCGCGCCATCCGTTCAATCGTGAGCGAGTGCAGTTTATAATCGATCGTTATCTCAATTCATTCTTGGAGGATCATAAGTACAACCCACGACGTGCCAAGCGATTGGCGGAAAATCTCAGCGTCGAACTCCGAGATATGGTCAAACGATGCAGCTTTGAGCGGTATCGAGTGGTTGCCATGGTGACCGTGGGAGATAAGAATTCCCAGGACTTCAAATCGTCCATGCGTTTCGTGTGGGATGCCGAAAAGGATGGATACGTGAACTTTGTATACGAAGCACCGACGTATTTTGTAATCGCGACCGTACTAGCAGTGTATTACGAGTAGATGTTGTAGTGGATCGAACAATAAAATTGATAGTCATATTTTCTTAGAGACGCTTCGGACAAAACAATGTACCATATAGTTGGCAGTCAGTATTTTATTAGTTAAGCACTAAAGTCATTAAGGCTAAACAAAAAAGCTACTTGATAAATTAAAAGGATCCTAGCATTCACTTTAACTTAAAAATAAAAATCACTTGATCACACACGACGTGTCGCTGAGCACGCTTGCAATCAACTGTTTATCATTGAGTGCATTGTGCACTTCCTCCTCGTCCCATTGCAGTAAAATGCGAGTTAGTCGCGGTTCTTTCTTACCTTGCATGCGGAGGATTCCTCTCGTTTCCACCAACGAGCAAAGGTTACCGAATTCGGCTTGATCCACCGACAGAAGATTCCGTTTGGAGCAAACAGCTTTGTACACCTGATGCAACTTTCCAACGGTGATGTCCTTGCTTTTGCTGGCTTTCAGAACCAACAGCAACGCGCAAACGAGCAGCTTCTGTTGCAGTGGGAATGCTTCTTCGTCGGTCATAGTTTGTATCGTTCCGTAAACTTGATTGAGCGTACTAACAACCGATCGAATGTGAACAGCTTTCGGCGGAGAGGTAAGCTCCCTGGTGTTTTTCGATTTCTTCTCCTGTCGGTACTCGTTATCGGTAGACTCGACCAAAGTTCGGGTAAGCAACAATGCTCTTCTAGCATCCCCGGAAGTTGAAGCAACTTTTGCAGCAAGCATCTGTAACGCTGCATCGTTGAACATATCAGCCTTTTGCTTTTGTTGCAAGCTAGTTTTCAAAATGTTGACCAGTTGTTGCTTGGTGTAGGGAAGGAACTGAATTAGATGCGGTTTCAGCTCACATCTGGCTTGTAGCCTAGAAAGTAACCGATCCGTGAGATCCAGAGCGTTAGCAATTCCGACTAAAATCAGTTTCGATTCCCGTTTAGTAGGCCACTCGAAAATGTTATACAGCACGGTTTGTTTGCTGCTCGCTAGTTGGTCTATTTCATCCAAGACCAGCATAACCGTTTTGTGCTTCTTTTTCAGGTATTCCTCGATAGCCACTAGATAGAATTTCTCCGTTGTTCCACCAACCGAAAGCTTCAGTCCTTCGCATATTTTCTTATAGATACCCCCAGCAGTGCTGATTGATGTGCAGTTTACGTAAACCATGTTAAGTTTGCTAGCCAGCTTTTGGTCACTTATAATCCTGGTGAGAGTAGCTGTTTTTCCCGTTCCAGGAGGGCCACTAAAATCAATTAAATGTCAGATCAGATCTGGTTCGCACAACGCAAAACACAACTACTTACCTTATGTACAAACTGCCGGAACCATTTTCCGATAAAATGTCTTCAATATACTTTGCCAGATCTTCAGTTTCACGTTCCCGTTCCGGAAGGCATCCAATAGCCGATACACTTATTTCTTCCGCGTCATTCGTCGTCACTTGACGCCGTCCGTTAGTTGCTTTGGCTCGTTTCGGCGGTGAAGCCTCCGGAATATCGTTGTTCTTCTTCGGACGACCTCGCCGTTTGGGAGTTGTGTTCTCTTTGGATTCGTCAGATAGGGCCGTTACTTTACTCGACTGACCTCGGGTTCTATAAGACATTGCTTTAGTGGCTGACTTTTGTTTTATTTCACACGTTTTATGAAAAAAAAAATAGTGTTAATCGATGTGGTTAATGCTTTTGGGCGCCGAAATTCTGCTGATATGTTGCCTGCGTTTGCCTGTTGTCTGTCAGCTGAGATAATAAAATTTATTAATATATCGCGCGCAAACTTCCTCTCGCATTTAACGGTACCCGGAATGTTTTGACAGGCGTTTTACTAGTGTGCGTGAAAAGTGAAGTGTGCTCAAAGGTTGATGTAGTGGTAGTCACGTAGGAATAAGCGATGAAGCGGCATCTGTGTCTCAAATTACACATCAAATTTCGAAAGACAACACGGTAACCAGCGTAAACACATTAATGTGTAAAATTTCACACATTCGTGAAAAAAGGGGCCTACTCATAAAATGTGTAAACTCAGTAAAAATAATATGTGTAAACCCAGCAAACGTCAATAGATGTGTATTTTTTACACATTTTTCAAGAACGGTTTTTACAGCAAAATGCTAGGCAAAATGTGTAAAAAGTAATCATTTCTAGAACTTAAATATAATGGGTGCGCATGGTTTTTTATAAACATCGGAATTTTCTTATTTGTGTCAATGATAAAATAAAGATTGCTCGAATACAATAATATTTTATTAATAATATTTAATAAAAATAAAAGAAATCAGTGCCAACATTTCAAAGGGGCGTAATTGCATTTGTAAACAATGGCTTTAGCCGTTGATTTCTCGCGAATAAAAGCACACTCATGAAAAATAATCACACCAGCAGGTAGAGGAATGTTTCCTCTACCAGCTAGCATTGTAATTTTGGAGAGGTAAGATTTCATTCGCGAGAAATTGACGACTAAAGTCATTGTTTACAAAAGCAATTACGCCCCTTTAAAATGTTGGCACTGAAATGCCATCAACAAAATCAGTAGCGGCGCCGGTGGTGTAGTGGTAAGCATGATTCAATAATGGGTTCAATCCCAGTTGGCGCCGCTGAGGCATAATATCTCTGATCACGCCGAGAATCACGCCTTCCTTCGGAAGGGAAGTAAAGCCATTGATCCCCGGTTCATGAGTTGATGGCTCGATAGGTAGGATCCAGGTGTGGGAGCTGCCTCCCTGGCGTCAGTAGCATTGGTGCTCAGCGCGGAAAACAAATCATAGAAAAAAACAGAAATCGGTATGAAGCAAGCAAGCGAGGCACCGGACATTGATTATGATTTTTTTTATAAAACTTTACTATGAAAATAGTATAAATCACCTACCCTCCAGTATGTCCATCGTTGCGCTGTCCAGCTTGGACCGTAGTTCTTTTATTTTCCTGTAGTACTTTGCTGAAATATATACAAATGGCGTGCGTAAACAAGGCAGGATACAGCAAAGTTTGAAGTTTTTTTTTATATATTTATTAAGGAGACTTTCAGCCGTTGGCTAGCTCGTCTCCGACAAGTTTGAAGTTTTTTTTTACCCATTAATGAGTATAAAAATACACATTTTTTGACTGGTATTACATTCTTAAAATGTGTATTTTTTTACACATGTTAAGAACTCCAAATTTACACATTTTTTGACAGCTGCATATAAATATAAAAAATGTGTATTATTTTACTCATTTATGTGTTTACGCTGGTTACCGTGCAGAGAACAGACATTGGAAGATTGCCGTAAAAGCTCAACACAGATGTCGCCACTGCATGATGATGATAATGTTGACAGACTGCATATAAAATTCGTGAAAATTAGCGTTAAATCATAATTTTCATCAAGCCTGTGTAAAATTCTTCCAATACAACATTCGAATTGCAGAAGAAAACGTTTTTACGATCAGACTGATGTGCAACTTTGACTTTTCCAGTTGAACTTTCATAAGATATATTCATTTCATTTCGCGGCTCTAACAATGCTGCATCGTAAATATGATGTTAACAGAAGCACAGAGAACAGACATGGAGGCTCGAACAAAATTTCTCTAAAAACTTGTGTAAAGATTCCTATTTGACTTAAGCACCACTAACGGCGACTTCCCCACTTAAAAACCCTCTTTGACAACATGATGGCGCTGGCGTTGCACAAATTATACTAGACACTAAGTGCTAGTAGCGCCAAGTGGCAATTTTCAACAGAAAATTTATCGATACTAGCGCCAAATTGGTCGAAAGTGGAAAATTATAGAGAGAAAATCAGGAGATGCTAACACCACGTAACGGCGACGTTCCCACTTATTTTACACAAGTTTCTGACCGAGCTTCAACGTCTGTTCTCTGTGACAGAAGTAAATTGCTCAATTATTCAAAATAGAGATGATTTGTCATCTTGCTATCACTTTGAAGACCATCTAGCACCATTTTATAGTATGGTGCGTGTTGAGTAAAGCAAGTTCCGTTGCGTTTTCCGTCGAAAATTGTGAGCATCAATATGTTTGCTAACAAAAGGCCAAAATGAACATTTATTGAATATTGGCGTCCTATACAACCAATCTCCATTACCATTAGCATGATACAACCTTTCCTAAGTAAATTCACTTAATTTCCACTTTCATCCTAGTGGAAATCGCACATATTCACCATTTTCCGAAAAATGCCGCTGCGCAGGAGGTAACCTCTCCCTGTGGGTGCAAACTTGTTATGCATAATTTTCCATGAAAACATCTCCGATCCATACCGAAATAATAACAGTTAGTTTGCAAACACATTTTCTTACACGATTCAAGCAAAAGTTTCCACGGGAAATTATTAGTTTTTCTTTATGTACCGATTTGCCCCAAAAATCGTCTGTTTTACTTGAAGAATTTGGAAAATATCCTCTTTCTAGTAGTTCTCACTTCGAAATGTAGGTGGCGAAAGCATGGAAAAGTTTCACTGCAAGACGCCAATGGAGGCTCGAACAAAATTTCTCTAAAAACTTGTGTAAAGATTCCTATTCGACTTAAGCGCCACTAACGGCGACTTCCCCACTTAAAAACCCTCTTTGACAACATGATGGCGCTGGCGTTGCACAAATTACACTAGACACTAAGTGCTAGTAGCGCCAAGTGGCAATTTTCAACAGAAAATTTATCGATACTAGCGCTAAATTGGTCGAAAGTGGAAAATTTATAGAGAAAATCAGGAGATGCTAACACCACGTAACGGCGACGTTCCCACTTATTTTACACAAGTTTCTGACCGAACTTGAACGTCTGTTCTCTGTGGCTTAACCTTGATACACCTATATAGGTATGAGTCCCACCCTAGGACCTTAGCCATAGCAGTCGAAAAAAAGTTTGTTGCACTTTGCGGTTTCGATCAGGATCAACCTTACCACGGTTTTTGTTACAAAGTAATTGGAGTAGTCCTTTGTGTTTGGATTTGAGAAGAAACTTTCAATTGACGGCAATTGAGAAACATAGGGTGTGTTGAAATCTTGGGTATTGCAGGTATCGATAAGCGCTCGATTTCATTTATCGCCCTGCTTGCAAAATTCTTGCGAATGGAACGATGCTAGGTCAGCTCAAAACACTGCATATTTTTCAAATGGTACTTCTGTATAAACCTTGACAACTTGTAGCAAAATTTTGCTGTTTCCTTCTAGACTTCAAAATGTAAGCACTTAACTCCAAATTTACGCGGTCGTATTTTGCCTCCTACGAAACCTTATGAAATCAATGTTTGATGCAATTGGTTCCATAAAATTAGTAAATGTCCAAAGAAGAAAATGTTACATACATTTATACATTTACCACAGATTTGCTGTATGAAGCAAGGTGATGAATTTGTTAAAGCTGGCTATATCATTATAAATAAAGGATACAAATGGTGAAAGAAATAGTAAGACATGAGTTCAGGAGTGCTAAGACCACATAGAATTATAAACCACGTTAGAATTATTTTATAAGAATTGACTACCCCCTTGAGAGCTGGTATAATCAATTTGACAGATCGATGCCCTTCTATACCACTTTAAATTATTGAAATGGGTTCGATTTTTGAAGATCGAGTTCCACATATGTTATGTGCTCTAGGTCACGATTTTGATTATGAAGCAGGAGAGTGTGGTAGATAGAGTTGATGTGGGATAATAATGATTTAAAAAATGAAAATTGAGTCATGTAACGAAACGCTTAAATAGAGTAACCAATTTATCGTGCATGTGAACAAAATATCACCTAACCATTTTTCAGTATCATCATATGTTTCCTAAATTATTTTTAAACACCTTTCATTTAATATTTTGATCTTTTAATAACGGCCTAGTGGTTCAAAAGTTATACATTTTTGAAAAAAAAACATTGATTTTTTTGACCACATAAAAATACGGGTATATTACGATAAGGAACAAACCTACAAATTTTTACGAAATTCTGAGAACCACTATATCGTTTTGCTATGGAATGGCTGTATATGGATATTAAAACTGGCTGCAAAATTTAAACGTTTTAACATATTTAAGCATGTTAAAAATAAAAAGTATAGCAGGTTTGTCTTTAAACGGTGTTTACCCCCGTTTAAAAAAAAGACCTGAGTGTAATATAATTAGAGAAATCAACAAATTTTCGGAATGGTAAATGGCTTCTCGGTAATGGCACAGAGAACAGACGTTCAAGTTCGGTCAGAAACTTGTGTAAAGTAAGTGGGAACGTCGCCGTTACGTGGTGTTAGCATCTCCTGATTTTCTCTATAAATTTTCCACTTTCGACCAATTTGGCGCTAGTATCGATAAATTTTCTGTTGAAAATTGCCACTTGGCGCTACTAGCACTTAGTGTCTAGTGTAATTTGTGCAACGCCAGCGCCATCATGTTGTCAAAGAGGGTTTTTAAGTGGGGAAGTCGCCGTTAGTGGCGCTTAAGTCGAATAGTTTTTAGAGAAATTTTGTTCGAGCCTCAATGTCTGTTCTCTGTGGTAATGGTCAATGATTTTTGAGGAAGTGTACACAAAAAATAAATCACATTTTCGATGGAAAATATCCATTAGAATTACGCATAACTTTCATGTGATCTCATAATTGGGAATCGCACCACAAAATCACATAAACCTTATGTGTCCAATGAAGTTTATGTGATTTATCACATATGATTCATGTGATCATATGAATGTTATGTTAATTTCAGATAAAAATAATTAATTTTGTTATTGGAAAAAATATCATGTGCGTTCCCAATGGAAACTATATGAAAACTTTTTTCAGTGTAACATTCGGGGTAGCGGCGCTTAGGGTAATGTAGTTCGGGATAGTGACATTCGGGGTCATGTCAAAATGACGCAAACATATTTGAATAGTTTTTACACCAAAACAAAGTATTCTGGAAAACGGAGTTTCTGGGAAATGATGCACAATTCATTTATGCATGTTTCGGACACTTATATAATACTGATAGACTGATACATGTCAACCATTTATTTAGCTAATATATTTCACTAAGTCTTTAAGGTTTGTTTAGAAACTGAGTCTGTTAGGTTTAATCTTTGCGTTTTCTGTTCTTTTTGCACTGAGTCTATATTATCCGGTTTTATATCTACTGGTCTACCAGGTTTACTAGGTACAGGTGAGGATTGCTTACTTCTATCAGTGAGTTGTATAAACTCAGAATTCCACACACATATCGAGCATTGCAAATTGAGATAAAAAAAAGCATTCACTGGGATCATTTTTGGTTTTCGATAAATTGTTAAACTTGCAATCCAACAAATAAAGTTAGTCGATTAGTAATAAGAGATATAAATAATCCGTTTGAGCAAAATTTGATCGTTAGCTATCCTTGACAGTTTTCAGCTCATTGCTACACGAATCTTTCATAGCTAATATTTGATTCAGAAACTGATGTCACCGATTTAACGGTTCAAAGACTAGATACTTCCAATTCGATGAATTTATAATTCATGAAAGAATACTGATGCCAACAAACAAAACATCGTCAAAACCGAAATTCTAACAATAGAGATCAAACAAAAAACAAACCAAGTAAATACATACAACATAATTTAGTCGCTATCACTGTTAGCAACCGGTGCTAGATGCGAGCGACTCAAATGATGAAACGGGGAAGAAATGCGTTCGATTGCACTCTTGTTTGTGGTTGACTTGTTCGGGAGTCTTTGGTATCCGACGTCTGATCCAGCATGGGCATCATCTTCAAATGTTTGGAACATTTGCTCCAAATTTCTAGCGTTCGTGGGAGTAGTCGCGGTGGTCGATTCGGTTTCATCTTTCTCACCGTCATCCGTTTCGCTACATTCGGGCTCGTTGTTGTTCAGATGTTCCGCGGCATTCACTGGAGTTGGAGTCGTGCTAAAAGATTCAATACGCACCAGTTGCGCAAACAGCTCATCATCGATCTGCGATATCGGCACATGGCAACCGTGGAACGGTACGGCGTCCGTTTTGAGGAACTTCTCAGTCACTACTTTGGTTACCTCGTATTCAATTTCGTCTAGATCATCGTAGCGGAACTTACGTTTACAGGACGGTACCCTTTGGATTGGGTCCGCCGTGGTCGAGCTCGCGTTGCCTTCGGCGTCCATGGAATCATCTTCAATTTCGGTGGAAGGGTTTCGGTACTCGAGAAACGAACGGCATTTGTCCATTGCTGATGTATGCCTTGGGAACGCTGGAGTATCCGAGCGATAGTCTGTAGAAAACGAAAAACAAAAAACATTGAAATTCACTTGCGGAATATATAAGGTTAGTGAGCGCATAGACCCTGTTTAAGGATTGCTTCAAGTGCTAGATCGTTATATTTATTCAAATTTACTTTGATGATCTCTACCAAACTCACAGTCCTGACGTACTGGGACAAAACCGGTAGGTATATTCGTCAATACACGCAGTTTGAAGATTTACATGAGACAAATCTAAGGTAATCATTTTTGTTTGCTGTTGTCTGATGACGGCTAAGACCATGGTTGGTCCATCTTGCCAAAAAGGTAATCATGACATTTTGATCTTTGAAAACCAGGGGCGGGATGTGTAGTCAAATCGGCCTACTGAAAATCTATCAATGAGATGTAAATGTGTAAGGCTGATTGAGTTTGTCATCTCTTTCGTTCTCCCGCTGTTCAAACGGTTGAAGAAGTGTGACGTCAAACTTCGTCATCCATTTTATCAGCCGGAGAACGAAAGAGACGGCAAATTTACTGGGCCTCACCTGTTTACGCTCATTGATTTTCCCTATGTGAATTTGGTTTTGGTTCCAAACATAAACAAACCATTGCTTATGGCTTTGTTGTCGTTTGGCAATAGTTATTTATTTATTTATTATTCTCTTCATCGGACTTTTGTTGTCTAAATGAAGATTGCGATACGAGGTAGGCAACAATTTTTGATAGAGCTGGAATTAGGGCGTAACAACTTTTGTAAACAATGACTGTTCTCGATGATTTCTCGAAACTCAATGCACGCCCACGCAAACCAACATAACCAACGGGAAGAGGAAGTCTTCCCCTACCAGATGGTGGCGTTGATTTGAGTGAGCGAGCCTTGGCTTTCTAGAGATCATCGAGAGAAGTAATTGTTTACAAAAACTGTTACGCCCTAATTCCAGCTCTATCTAGAATTGTTCGTATTTGACGGTCACCAAACAATTTGAAAAATATACTGATGCCGTATAATCCAAATGATACTCTGCTCTAATGGAAGTGGAAATTGTCGGTTTATAGCGAGGTTGATTTGATAAGCAGTTTTCCTTCAGATAGCACAGCACCAACATCACTGCTGATAACCCAAAGGATAATAATCAATGCGATAGAAATATTTTTGTACTTGAATAATGTCAAACCACTTACCCCAACTTTCCTCCACAGAATCCAATGAATTATCCTTCGCGATATCTTCTAGCGTTTTACCGATGGTGTCAGTTTCTTCTTTGGTGTTAGACTCTTCCGTTGGCTCGTCTTCATCGTCGTTCTCTTGGAGATTTTTGGATGCTAGATATTCGTCGTAGTATTCTTTAAAATCTCGGTTGCCACTGTCTCCGTTATTGTTATTGTTATGCATGTCGTTTATGAAGTCATTCCAATCGTCCAATTTGTCGAAATTGGTACATTCCGATTCCCGATCATCTTCGTACGAGCAAGGTGAGTCGTACCTCTTTGAGAGTCCCTTGTCGGTGCTTTGCGAGTACTGGGAGAAGTTTTCCTGTGCATGTGAGATGGATAGCGAGTAGGATAGTGAAAGTGACCTCGATTGTTGCTGTTCATCGGAACTGCCACCGTCGCCTGCATCTCCACTGTCATCGCATTCCTCCTCGCCCGTCAGTTCCAGCGGATCGTCCTCGTTATCTAGCGTAGTTTCCAGGGAGTTATCATGACTGCCTATGTTCTTCGGAAAGGCACTGTCGCTAGGAAGCTGGTCTGAAAATGATTTATTATGTATTCTTCGGCTCGTTCCCTGTACCTTTAATCCTTACCATTCACATCCTGATCCGTTTCACTATGGACTGTTTGTAGTACTGGAATTCCCGCCATTGCGACATCATTCTCATTGTCCAAATCATAATTGAAAAGGAGCAGTTGCATCTTGTTTTCAAACTCCTGAGACAATCGAGATTCGGGAGGACAGCAGTTCCGGCTGCTGCTGCTACTGCTGTTGCCGCCGATGGGGCTCGCATAGTCGATTTGCGCTGTCTGGTTCAATTCCCGCACAAAGGAGCAAAAATCCATCGACGTTGGTTCGGACGAATCTGCCATAGTGTTGGCAAAATTTCTGCTTCGGCGACTCAACTAGGAGCAAAAATTGTTTCGACTCATTTTTCAAAGCTTTCTGATATAATTTGAATATTTCGAATGAAATAAACTGTGTTTTGTAAATTTTGTTTGTATTTTGGACTGGATTGACGTTTGGCTGGGTTGTCTGCGTTCGATTTGTTTATTTGCAGGTAGCCTCCATGAAAACTGTTACAGAAGTAGATGCAAGTTTAATTTTATTTTAAATAAATAAGTCTGGATTTGGGAGGTTTATTACAAAAATAGGAAAATCAAAGCAGAAACACTAATTAAAAAAAAAGTTATTTCCATATTTCAATAAAATTTATAAATTTATAGAATTTTCAGTAGATCAGCAAAAATGTTACGTCATTTGGGGTTACTACTCATCGAAGCGCGCTTGCGTTGAAATGTGTCATGGTTGACTCGTATATACACAGGTCGCCTTATTTAGTAATTCCGGGATTTGAGACTTCACTGTAACGATTTCTTTGATGTTTGCTTTGTTTCACAGCTAGATGACGCGATCGTAAATACTTTCCACACACTCTAAGCTACGATTACCTAAAATTATAGGTAAAAAATTGTCGGTATTTTTTAAGCCTAGTTTTGGCGTCTTGCAGTTTCCAAATTCTCCAAGTAAAGCTTAGTCACAGAGAACAGACGTTGAAGCTCGGTCAGAAACTTGTGTAAAATAAGTGGGAACGTCGCCGTTACGTAGCGCTAGCATCTCCTGATTTTCTCTCTATAATTTTCCACTTTCGACCAATTTGGCGCTAGTATCGATAAATTTTCTGTTGAAAATTGCCACTTGGCGCTACTAGCACTTAGTGTCTAGTGTAATTTGTGCAACGCCAGCGCCATCATGTTGTCAAAGAGGGTTTTTAAGTGGGGAAGTCGCCGTTAGTGGTGCTTAAGTCAAATAGGAATCTTTACACAAGTTTTTAGAGAAATTTTGTTCGAGCCTCCATGTCTGTTCTCTGTGGCTTAGTATAGATCGAAGCGAAACGAAAATTGAAGTACGCGAAAAATCATGAAATTTCACTAGCGAAAAAGGTTGTGAAAAAATGTTTGTGGAACATTTTCCAGTTTCCTTTTTTTCGCAGTGTGAAACGAAATCGGTCAGTTTACACCTCCGGTGAAGTGAAAATCTGACAGATACGCTCTTTCTCGAAACGTCAACTTTTCACTTACCTGCTGCTCTTTTCGCTAGCGCTGCATGCGCGAAAAAAAATGAACGTATGCGAAAAAGATATGATCCACAAAATAAGATTTCGCTGGATCGTACCTGTTTACAGTTCAAAGCGAAGCGAAATATTTGCCAATTGCGTTTTTCACGCAGGTGAAAAATGTAGTATTTTGTATGAGATTTTCGCTTCGCTTTGATCTCTATACAGGCCTTAAAACAGACGATTTTTGGGGCAAATCGGTACATAAAGATAAACTAATAATTTCCGGTGGAAACTTTTGCTTGAATCGTGTAAGAAAACGTGTTTGCAAACTAACTGTTATTATTTCGGTATGGATCGGAGATGTTTTCATGGAAAATTATGCATAACAAGTTTGCACCCACAGGTAGAGGTTACCTCCTGCGCAGCTGCATTTTTCGGAAAATGGTGAATATGTGCGATTTCCCCTACACGCAGAAAAAAGTATCATCGAAATAAAAATATTTGAGGTAAAAATAAACGTAAACTCAGTTTGTTCTGGCCACAAAAATAAAATAGGTTGATTCAAACGTATTTTATGTTAAAAGTCATGTGATATCAATGTTTAAAATAAAAATCATTATACGTTTATTTTAAAAATATTCAAGTTGAAAATAAATGTGAATATTTTTGTTTGATTTGACATGATTTTAGAGTTTATCTTAAGCGTATTTTATGTTAAGAAAATATATATATATATATTTAATTATTGTTATAAATCATTTTCGACAGCGCGATAAAAAAAAATGTTCGTTTCCGATCAGTTTGACACACTCAAGTTAGGAAGACATTTGTAAACCAACTGCGATTTATCCACAATGCAACGTTTTCGAGACATGACGTCAATGCTGGAACCCGGTGTTTGATGACAGTATAATGTCTCCACGTAGAACATCTCATCCAAGAACCAGTTCTATCTTTCGTACATGAATATAACTGATGGGAATTCTTCCACTCAGAGTATCACCATAGAGGTAACTCTAAGACTAGAAGGTCCCGAAGAAACGTGCTCAAATTTTTGGCTCAGCTCTGGTACTCTCTTCGGTCCCAAGCTAATCGATTCACCCCTCGAAACATAGGAAAATCCACTAACCCCTCATTTTATCTGTCAAACTTTCATAGCGAATCAAAACAAACATTGTGCAGAACTAGATTTATGACTATAATGGGGTACGTTAATCGTTTGCTTGGGGCCAATAGGCTAGTCAAGTAGTGAGCCAATTTAAAATCGTTAGTTTCGTATTGATTGTTGGTATCACTAGCTCCATTGTCGCTTCGTCCAGCTCTTGTTCTCATCGGTCACTACCAAAAACTTCAATCCTGCGAAATGGCTAGTGAAATAACTACCGTCTACTGAACCTTTATTGTCTCCGCCAACCATTCCCGCTTGGCCAGGTCTCACAGGATAATGATTCCATTCTTATTCGTCACGTACAGAAACCGATCATCGTAAGTGAAACACAGACACGTCGGTGACAGAAGCAGTCAAATACAATTAATTTTGATATTGTTGAAATAAACATGCCTTTGATTTTAATTCAAACATAAATATTTAAGGTTCAAACATGTTTTCAATTTACTTTGAATAATTAATATTTTTAGAGTATAAACATTTATATTTTTGATTTAAATGAACAAAATTCGTATCCGTGAACGATAAAACACAGAGAACAGACGTTCAAGTTCGGTCAGAAACTTGTGTAAAATAAGTGGGAACGTCGCCGTTACGTGGTGTTAGCAACAATCAATACGAAACTAACGATTTTAAATTGGCTCACCACTTTAGTAGCCTATTGGTCCCAAGCAAACGATTAACGTACCCTATTCTAGTCGAAATTCTAGTACTACGCAATGTTTGTTTTGATTCGCTATGAAAGTTTGACAGATAAAATGAGGGGTTATTGGTTTTTCCTATGTTTCGAGGGGTGAATCGATTAGCTTGGGACCGAAGAGAGTACCAGAGCTGAGCCAAAAAGTTGAGCACGTTATTTCGGGACCTTCTAGTCTTAGAGTTACCTCTATGGTGTTAGCATCTCCTGATTTTTTCTATAAATTTTCCACTTTCGACCAATTTGGCGCTAGTATCGATAAATTTTCTGTTGAAAATTGCCACTGGCGCTACTAGCACTTAGTGTCTAGTGTAATTTGTGCAACGCCCGCGCCATCATGTTGTCAAAGAGGGTTTTTAAGTGGGGAAGTCGCCGTTAGTGGCGCTTAAGTCGAATAGGAATCTTTACACAAGTTTTTAGAGAAATTTTGTTCGAGCCTCCATGTCTGTTCTCTGTGGGAGAAGTTACTCACTTTGCTAAATCAATGTTACTCAGATTTTGACATTTTGTATAAAAATACCAAACTGAGTAGAAGTTACTAACTTTTGAGTAACATTGAGCGAGCGTGTAGAGTACTTGAGGTAACTCTAATGGTGGTAAGCTCCAACTGGTATTATCATAGAGGTAACTTTAAGACTAGTAGGTCCCGAAGAAACGTGCTCAACTTTTTGGCTCAGCTCTGGTACTATCTTCGGTCCCAAGCTAATCGATTCACCCCTCGAAACATAGGAAAATCCACTAACCCCTCAGTTTATCTGTCAAACTTTCATAGCGAATCAAAACAAACATTGTGTAGTACTAGAATTTTGACTAGAATGGGGTACGTTAATCGTTTGCTTGGGACCAATAGGCTAGTCAAGTAGTGAGCCAATTTAAAATCGTTAGTTCGTATTGATTGTTGGTATTATCCTCGGATTAAATCCCGATCAAGAATGTTCGACTACTTTGATGTTGACGTCAGAGTTGATCAACACGACATTTTGTATATCATCCAAACAGGGACGGTATGAAAAGTTAATCCGAGTTGAAGCTTACCACCATAAGACTAGAAAGTCCCGAAATAACGTGGCTTAGCTCTGGTACTCTCTTCGGTCCCAAGCTAATGGATTCACCCCTCGAAACATAGGAAAAACCAATAACCCCTCATTTTATCTGTCAAACTTTCATAGCGAATCAAAACCTGGGGGGGACGTACTGTCAAATCAGCCTACTGATCATACTTGTATGAAACTGGTTCCAAACGTAAACAAACGCTGTAGGTTTCTTATGGCTTGTTTACGTTTGGAACCAGTTATGCGAGGTAGGCGACGATTGTTCGTATTTGACAGCCACCTCCCCCTGGATCAAAACAAACATTGCGTAGTACTAGAATTTCGACTAGAATGGGATACGTTAATCGTTTGCTTGGGACCAATTGGCTACTCAACTGCCGCTCTTCGCATGTCCGTCCCATAGCGAAAATCGGCAAGCCGAGAAAATCACGTTTTAAGTTTGCTTACCATTGCTTCTTATGTGATGGAACAACCAATGTGACTGTCTTTCCAAACTTTTTCAGAACAAAGTTGATGAGTTCATCCAGCATTATTATTTTTTTTCCTTTGGTTTGTTTTTTTCCGTCTATCTTGTTTTCCGTGCTGAGCACCAATGCTACCGACGTACCAGGAAGACAGCTCCCACAACCTGGAGCCTACCTATCGACCCATCAACTCATGAACCGGGGACCAACGGCTTTACTTCCCATTCGAAGGAAGGCGTGACCAGAGATGTTATGCCTCAGAACATCCCGGCGGCGCCGACTGGTATTGAACCCAGGCCTGCTGCCCAGAAGTGTTCCGAATCAGAGTTCGGAGATCTGGATGAAAATGGTGGAGAAGTGTGTATCGGAGATAATACGGAAATGAATGATTTCGATATGACGGATTATTTTGAAAAATTCAGGAATCAGCGAATTTAACGTGAAGACGATGAGTATGTATCCGGAGCAGATGATTCCAATTACAGAAATGACTGTAAGTTTACATGCAATAAATAATATTCCTTTTCTTATTAACTGCAGCTTGATCATCTGAAAAGTTACCAGGAGATCTTGGT